AAATTGGATTGAATTTCTCTTGTTTAGCATCACTCCCAGACTCATCCTTCACGTCACAGGCCACGCCGGATAACAAGGCGGCGAAAGACAAGTAGATTATAGAATAATACTTTCGCATGTCATTTGTTATGATAAAATTACTTTGAGAAAAAGTTGAAATGACTTCCACGTAAAGTTACTTCAGCGGCCAGAAGAGGAGGCGGAAGTTAAAGATCTACTACTTCCTGCTTATGTCTCTGATGATGAATCCGCGACGGATCTCGGAACTTCAGGTGAATAGGTGTCGTCCCAGCGATCGAGTCGTCTTTTTCTCAACTTTAAGAAAGTTTACACAGTGAGGGTCGCTGCTGCCGTAAAGCGTCGTATTGCGACTTTTAGAGGTTGCTTTCATAGCGGTCAAATCCGCTATTATTCGGTTATATCTATCGCGACTTTTTCGCAGCCACTCGCTGTCGCTCAGATATGGAATTGCAACCAGGGAGGTACACGCTCTCAGGCACCTTAGAAGATTATCACTGAAAGACCGTACACTGCTCATGAGACTCTTCCGCAAGGATTGAGATTACTGCAGCTTTCAATACTAGGTGCCCCATTATTGTACCAGTCTTCCAAATCGGCGGGCTACCAATACACGCCATGCAAACGACGGCGATGCACACGGGTAGAGTCTCCGGCGAGTACAACATGCGCCCACAAAACCTATCAGCCAATCGTAGTCATCCACGCACGAGTTCAGCGGCCAACGCTGCTGTTAACTTGTTGGTACACTGACATGGGTCCTTCGAACTCAGAAAAATCTGCTGGGGGAGTCAGTGCACACGAGTTTTGCGCAAAACAAGGACCTTTGATGGTCGTATTGCCCTCTTTTCATCCCAAACAGGAATTGATTCCCAGATTGTGGAAGCCTGAAATGTGTCCACTTTCTTTGCATCGCATACTAATCAGCATGCTGACAGGCTTAGTGTAGCTGAATAGAAACACACAAGCTTAAAATGTTGCGAATGCTTTTCGACTGTTTCCTGACATGAAAAAAAAATAGTGAAGTTTAAATATGCTCACCAAATTGATTGGAAAACGATAAAATCAGCTTACCATTGTCATATCTGCTACCAGAGCCCAGTTCATACAGATGAGCAGCTGTCCGATGAAGACGAAAAACTACAGTAAGGTAAAAACAGGTCACTGAAACACTATTCTGGGCCGAATAATGATTTTGAAATAGTAACTACGTTGGGTACAGTTCGGAACGCTGTCCGAGGGTGGTATTCATGCTCAGCAACAACATTAAGTCATATATGTGACTAGAAGACACGAGTAACAATTAACATTATCATTAGAGTAGTCCTGCGCAGGCCGACAAATGTTGCATGCGTTAGGAGCCGCCCTAAATGACGCGCGCGTAAGCAGCCGTAGCGAGTCGCTCTCACGCCACCTACACGCGGCGCACGTGATGACGCCGCGCAAAGCTGCGGCCAGGCTTAGGATTCTGACAAGCGAGCTGGATCAGTCACAAGCCAGACAAGTTGCTACTCGTTCGAGGACAGTATCTGATTGGTCAGATTATAAATGTCTGTACACGCGTTTGCCTGGCTTAAATAGGCTGTACTAGGTACACTAAAAGTCTTCCAATTTTGCGCCCTTCTTCTTGGGTTCTTCCTTGGGGGTTCAAACAAGGCATAATTAGACGGTGACACCTCGGCTTTGGTAACAATAGAGCAGCATTTCTCGGGCCAGGTGCTAAGTTCATCGACCAAATTTATAATTCACTGCAAACAGCATATTCCTATTGCTTACAAATGCATCAGGTTTAATGGACCAATTTAAATGGTTCGCCCAATGTCCTACGAGCCGAACAGAAGACATTTAGTTATTAAGCACGGCCTCTTTTCGCCTCCCCCGACTCCGACTACTTTAAGTAGGCGAAATACTACGACTAAAGTCTAGTAGTAAAGGACCAGTTTTTGGATTTTGGGGTTTTTTAATGTTGTTGCATCTGATGAAGTAGCCGCGAACCGAGAATACTACATCACGTGAGTAGCGTAGTCCGTTGACACACCTTCAAGCAAAACTTACTCGTTTGTCCTGGAAATGGAGAACAGCGACACAAAAACAGCGGCTGAGCAATTAATGACGAAAAAAGGGGATACAACCATGGCCAAAGATAGGCACTTCCATTATAAAATCGTTCATCAGCAGACTGAAAAAGTGTAATAGCGGCTCGGGTATCAGACACGAGATTTTATCTCAGTTCAATAATCCAAAAAAGTATTTTAGGCCTGATGGAATCCCGGGGAAGGGTGAGGTAGTTTTATTACCCGTGAAAAGCAAATATTACGAATTCTACATAGTTCCCGGTGAATGTGCATAGCTCTGAACAGAACAGTGCACGGA